CTGTGGGGAGAGAGCCTAAATCCACAGACGACCAGTAAGGGTAAAACATGCACAGAATCCAGTCACCCAGGTGACTTCCTGGGGGCACATGGTTTATATCACTGGGTGTGGAAGAAACTTCTATAATTGGGTACTCTCATCATGTGACTAGGAGAGAAATTTGCTCAATCTATCTGGGAAATTACTTCTCAGAATAAGACCTCTTGTAACTGTGCAAGATGATCAAGGTCAGTGGGAGTCTATTTGTCCTTTAGGCAAAAGGGATACTTGTGCCAGAGAGTAATTTTATTTTGATCCAGTTTGAACATAATATCTGGGGGAGACTTGGGCATCTGTATGATGTAATTATTGAAGGTAGTGGCAGAAAGTCCAGGAGTGGGACTACTGCTATGGTCAGACAATTGGAGGGACCAGAGATGGGATCATGACCAGGAAATAGAAATGGGTCGGTGCCAAAGTCAGTGTGAGGGGCCAGGCAGAGGAAAAAAAAAAACAAAAGGACCTAAAATAATCAGCTGAATATGGCATTTAGAGAATTGGAAACAAGATATTCAGAGATGGTTCTACTAAGATCTGGGCAGAAGCAATTTTATACTAAATAAATGTTAAAGATCAGAAAATTCTCTAATGGATGTTACACTTTTCCCCCTAAAATAAAAACAATCCATTTAAGTAATTAGTTTTATTGGATGGTTATGATGAGCCAATTTAACAACAATCTACTTTATTTTTAAGTAGCATAATTGAATATAATATGCTGTTTTCAGTGATTTCATTAGCTACTCTTACTGGAAGAAAGCCAAGTTACTCAGACCCTACCCATATCCAAGTTATGACACTTTTTTGGTGGGAGCTTGCCAGAATTAAATATCATTAGGCAGCCTACTGACTGTCAGTCCTGTAAACTCGGTCTTGTAAAAGTGTCACAGGGAAACTCTCTACTCGAGATCCACAAATAGCATAGACAAGTCTTGAGGCTCAGGTAGGTTGCATGCTTTGTGGAAGGTAAGAAAAACAATTATAAGACCTCTTGGTCACAGATTTTATGACACAGGCAAGAGCAAATGTCATGTGCATTCGAAGTGCTGCAGTAACAGAACTGGGCTTAGTAACAGGAAAAATAACAAAGAATAAAAGGAAAATTTTCTATTACCTTATCTTTGCCCATTGGAGTTAACTACATAGGCACAGATGCCTAGCATGCTTCTAAAATGTTTTTTTAAACTTATGCAATATATGTGTGTATAGGATATAGACACATATATGTCTACAAATAAATACATCTCTTTGTGTGTATTGAGGCTTGTATATGCAGAGTATTTCTGACATATGTACAAGCAACAATGTTTATCCGTGTTCCTGCTGTTTATCTCTAGGGGCAGAACAGAGGACTCTATACCAGCAGAGAGCAACACCTTGACATTGCATGTGATACTCATCTGTGGTATTAGAACTTCTTATAAAAAGCACATTCAACTTTTATAATTTAAAAAACCTAAACATTTAAAATAAAATTGACATGTTAAAAAAAAAAAACTGCTGCCCCACATTTTTTAAGACATGAATATTATAAGGTGTCCAGTCAATAAATGCTGGAAATCCTTCAGGCAAAGAAACTGTTACTAGGTCTAAATGGAAACTGCCTACTTGTTGAGGATCTCTCCATGTAAACGGACCTGCCTACACACTCAGGCCAGCTGGAACAGAAGGATGGAACAACGGGGCACATGGGAGGCTTTCCAGCACTTGTTGTTGCTAGTTTCAAGGCTGTGTACTTGCCGGTTAAATTCTCCATTTCAGACATTGCATTCGTTTTAGGTTATAACCTCTCTGTGTGTGCTCAGTCGTGTTTGATTCTTTGCGACTCTTTGGACTAGAACCTCTATAGAGGCAACTGAGACCCTCAAAGTGAAATTCCCGGCCATGGTGTTTATTTTCTTCTTAGCTTCTGTTCTTTATCAAGTCCTTGAATGTGATAAGCACAGCACAACTGGGTCCTTTTTCATTAAATGCATCATACCAGAATATAAGGCTACCAAAGAATGACTAGCTTCAAGGTTATATAATGTTGGCTTTTAATAACTCTCCATTTCTCACGCCTCTATCTGCCCAATCTAAAACTGGAATCCCAGAGCAGACAGCAGCACAACGCGAAGGGCTCTCCTGAGCCAAACACAGAGGGACGGCAGCTGAGCCAGCTACAGTTGGCAGTGCTGTCTCAGTAGGTTTTATAGGAAATTGTATTTCCATAGGTATACAGGTTTATGTCTTTTAAAGTTATGTGCATTACCAGACCAGCGCCAGACTATTTGCTCCCGTGCTTCCTGATGGCCCAGGAGAGGGGCTGCTACCTACCTAAGCTGCGCTGCAGACCCCTAGAGCACATGCCATTCTCTCTTTTCTAAAGCCCAGGACTGTCACGTGCAGTGGCCAATTTTTTAGAAAGCTACAGGAGGTAGATTTAATGTTTAAGCCATTAAACAGGTCACTATTCTGACCATTTCTGATGCTTTTTTTCCCCCTCAAAACCTAAGTTCTTAGGGTGTTTGCTTTTTCAGAGACATATTTGCCTTTGTCCTATGTCATTCCCCCATCAATAATGTAGGACATTAATGTCTTTCTTTTTTTAGTTTGGAACAATTTCCAAATGCATCAGGACCCCTACAGTAGTCATTACCTCATCTATTTCCATACTGAAGATTTACGTGTGACTTCAGCTGGAGATATTTGAATTGGCCCACAGCCACCTGTACCCTCAATTTTCTCTGGGCTGTTTGGAAGCATCACAGAGAAATATGAGACAGTGGTTGGTGAGAGCAGAGTCCTTCATCCCAGCCATCGCTGTGTGGCCAAATGCTTGGCTCAATATAGGGCATGGAAGGCACCATTCAAAGCCAGATTCCAGTCTGCCGTAAGGATTATATTTCTGTCATCACAACATCTCCTTGACAGTCTCACCAACTGAAAAGTTCCCAGCAGAAGCCCAGTGATTAAATTCTCCTGGAGCATGTTTCTTTCCAGCTTCTGGAAACAATCTACTGCAGTCCCTTTTGCCCTTGCCAGAAAACCCGAAAGATCGTTCTATTTCTAAGACTGATGTATGAAAAGAGATTCCTCTTTCCACAGCTGAAAATAATGCCAACAGTTTGATTTGGAAACAACTAAGGGCAGATGTGGTCCCCATCCACTGAGAGGCTATTCCCACCTAATACAGTATATCACCTCTGTACTTTCAAAATGACACGTGACCAAAAGTGGTTCAGATAAGCAAGGTGGCACCACTGGACTTTAACTTAAATGCAGAGAGACAATCATTTACGCTCACATGCAGAAACACAAGGGAAACACTTGGCTTATATCTAAGAGCAAAATGGAAGAAAGCTCAGAAGACACTGGTTTAGTTTAAAGCAAAAAGGGTCACCCACTTTCACTTCTGCCTTATGCCCAAATCAAGCAGATGTTTTCTCTGCAAGTGAGGAGACTTTTTCTCCTGATTCTTTAGTTATCGTAGAGTCCCTAACAGAGGTACCTGTAAGTACCAACTGGTCGGTGGCAGGATGAAAAGCTGTAATTCTACTGCCAGCCAGATGTTTCCAGTTAGACTCCCAACAGGAGTCGGCACGAAGATCGTTCTGGCAGGGGAAATAGAGAAAAGGATATATTCGACTGCCCTGTACGTGAAAGATGGGGCTACAGTGCTATCTGGTATGACCTTGGAATCTGGCAATAGTAGGTGAGGCATCCATCCGAGTGATCCAGGCATCTTGAAAGTCCGGCAGTGGAGTCGGTAAAACAAGGCTTTGTCCTTGGGACAAGGCTCCCGCAGGGAAATGAAAACCAAGACCTTAGAAGGAAAACCTAACGCGGGCCCCCTCTCAGCACTGTGCCCGAGCCTGTGAGCCTCTGTGCAGCACTCCGGTGACTGTTTTCTTCTTAAGTGAGTTATTTTGACATATGCTGCTACTTTTGCTTTTGCTGTTTAATTTCAAGTCCATTAGCCTGCTTTCTACTATCAGTCAAAAAGCCTAAAAGTAAACGCTGTCGTAGTGCTCCATTTCCTGTAACCACAGTTCCCACACATGGTTTTCTGCTCTGTGATCTCAAGAGCACTTAAAATGGAGTGGTTCTGCAAACCCACTATGGGCCTTGGTGAGCATCCACTGCCCGTCTCTACTGCAGCAAAAGGCAAAGATGGCTACACGTAGGCAGTACGGAGCTGGGCCACCAGCCCAAGCTGGACCAGTCCTCCATGGCTCTTGGCAACAGTGCCGCCACCTGGGCTGACCCCTGGGTCCCCCCTCCGAGGTACCACTCAACCGAGGCAACTCCCATGCCACCTTGCCGCACCTCAGAGATACTGCACCCAAGTGGACGCTATCTGTGTGGCACTCCCAGCTCCTACATCATGAAAAAGGGTTAGGGAGGGAGAGGAGACATGCAAACAGGTCACTAAGTAGTCTCAGTATATTTAGTCTTGGAAGTGGAAGCGATTTTACAGTTATATTTCTGCAGGACATCCAGAGGGTTTGAAAAGACCTTCAGAGTCTCGTGGTCTTCAAAGACTGAATGTAAAGAGAACAGATCATATATTATTTTTTTTAAATCGATGGGTCGTTACAGTAGAATTGTGCGGTACAGGGGAAAAGTGAATGCACAGGGGGGCGAGGGAGCAGTGCCATTTATACGAACATCCTTGGATCTTTAAAATAAATTATACAGGTGAACACAGAAGTTCATGCTACTTGCTGGAAGCAATAAGGATCGAATTTTGTGGAACTCGCAGTCCACAAATCTCCAGGTATCCTGCCTCGTCCTCAACGGGCTATCATGTTCTGTGGTACATCTCGGTAGCCCTTAAAACTGGTGGCATGGTCTCAGATAGATTCTTGCAGGAGAGACAGATTTATGGATTCCATCAGCTTCTTCCAGGGGAGCCGCCCGATCGCCAGGAGGGCACAGGTGAGATGCTTGTTGAGATTCTCTCAGCCTGTCTACCAGGGTCAAACAGCAGTTTCCAGGTCCTCATGGCCAATGATCTTATAATTCTGGCGGCTTCCCAGGTAGGCAGCCAAGTCTGGGTCACCGGCCTGCTGGGCTCTGTCGTGAGGTGTCTTACCCTGTAGGTAACAGTGAAGAGGCGAGAGACACAAACACTTGGGAAAACATTGAAAAAATAATAATAATAGAAACAGAGCTGCTCAAAGATAACGCATTGAAACTGATCTTTCCATGTTTTCTGTTTGCATTGATGAGATACTTTCTAAATCTATTACTGCATCAAACATGTGAGATATGCAAGTTCAAGAGAGACGATCACTTTTCAGAGGTGGGGCTCCCATCAAAGGAAAGGGAGGTTCATAGAGTAACTAGGTACACAGCAGCAAATCATGCAGCACAGGAAGGATGAGAACCCAGATTCTCTTCAGAGGGGGAAAGAAATCACTGAATAGAAAGTAGGAAAAAAAAAAAAGGAGGGAAACCGGCATTCTGATTTCTAGAATGACTTCTAGACTTCTTTGGAAGTCTTTCTGTGAATACTAAATCCTGGGAAATAACAAGCAGAAACAAAGGAGGAGGGATGATCAGAAACAATTTAAAGGGCTTTCTTTGGTGGTTTCAAAGTCTTCAGTTTGGTTCTCCTTAATTTAGAACTATCTTGTCTCCCTAAAAAGTAAGTTAATTTCTGATAATAAAAGTGGTGGATGTTGAGTAAAGAAATCTTGGGAAAGTAGAAAAGCATAAGTAAGCAAAAATCACCAGTAATTCCACTATACTAAGATAACCTTCTGTTAACCTTCCCATAAAGTAGCTGTTTTCTTATTTCTGTAGCTCTACACACAATTATTTTTATGACAACTAAACCATACTTTGTTTATATACTCAGGCAATCTGCTTTCGCACTTAATAACATATAAAACCTCTATGTCATGAAATGTTCTTCTGCATCATTGTAAATGACTGTATGATTTTTTGCAGTCTGTTATAATGTTGGGTTTTCCTGGTGGCTCAGCAGTAAAGAAGTTGGCTGCCAATGCAGGAGGTGCGGGTTTGATCCCTGGGTTGAGAAGATCCCCTGGAGGAGGAAATGGCAACCCACTCCAGTATTCTTGCCTGGGAAATCCCATGGGCAGAGGAGTCTGATGGGCCACAGCCCACGGAGTCACAAAAGAGTCAGATACAACTCAGCGACTGAACAACAACAAATTATAATGTTATGTGTATATTTTTTCTCATTTATTTTTATTAGTTGGAGGCTAATTGCTTTACAATATTGTACTGGTTTTTGCCATACAGTTATATGTATATTTATTGATTTAGGTCATACCTGCATGGTCTAGTGATTTCCCCTACTTTCTTCCATTTAAGTCTGAATTTGGCAATAAGGAGTTCAGGATCTGAGCCACAGTCAGCTCCCGGTCTTGTTTTTGCTGACTGTATAGAGCTTGGGCTCCAAAATCACTGCAGATGGTGACTGCAGCCATGAAATTAAAAGACACTTGCTCCTTGGAAGAAATGTTATGACCAAAGTTATGGCAAAGTTATGACCAAAGTTATGGCAAAGACATTACTTTGCCAACAAAGGTCCGTCTAGTCAAAGCTATGGTTCTCCCAGTAGTCATGTATGGATGTGAGAGTTGGGCTATAAAGAAAGCTGAGCGCCGAAGAATTGATGCTTTTGAACTGTGGTGTTGGAGAAGACTCTTGAGAGTCCCTTGGACTACAAGGAGATCCAACCAGCCCATCCTAAAGGAAATCAGTCCTGAATATTCATTGGAAGGACTGATGCTGAAGCTGAAACTCTAATACTTTGGCCATCTGATGCGAAGAACTGACTCATTTGAAAAGACCCTGATGCTTGGAAAGATTGAAGGCGGGAGGAGAAGGGGACAACAGAGGATGAGATGGTTGGACGGCATCACTGACTCAATAGACATGAGTCTGAGTAAACTCCAGGAGTTGGCGATGGACAGGGAGGTCAGGTGTGCTGCAGTCCATGGGGTTGCAAAGAATCGGACACGACTGAGTGACTGAACTGAACTGATGTATGTTTATACACGTAATATTTCTGAAATGAGGCCAATAAACATAAGTCAACAGTTAAAGGAGGAATGGTCTCCATTCTTTTGAATGTTTATGGACATAATTAACCGTCCTTGACACTTCTAATTTTTGTTCAGTCGTATCTACTTAAAAATGATATTGTTTTAAAGAATTTTGTTGGAGTATAGTTGATTTACAGTGTTAATTTCTGCTGTCCAGCAAAGTGAATCAGTTATATACTTTTTGGATCCTGTTCCCATATAGGTCTCACAGAGTACTGAGCAGAGTTCTTGTGCTATATAGTAGGTCCTTATTAGTTATAGTTATCTGTTTATATAGAATGGTGTGTATATGTCCTCCCCAATCTTCCAGTTTCCCCTTTTCCTCCTCCCTTTCCCCCTTGGTAGCCATGTTTGTTTTCTACATCAGTGACTCTATTTCTGTTTTGTAAATAGGTTTATTTGTATCATGTTTTTAGATTCCACATAAGTGATACCATATGATATTTGTCTTTCTGTGTGTGACTGACTTCACTCAGTATGACAATCTCTAGGTTCATCCATGTCACTGCAAATGGTATTATTTTATTCTTTTATATAGCTGAGTAATATTCCATTGTATATATGTACAAAATGATATTAAGTTCTAAGGAAAGAATAGAGGCATGATCACTGTACCATACAAATAGTTCCATGTATAAAAATGTACACAAGTATTAAAGAAACTATCAAACACTTCTCAGCCTCATCTTTTGCAATGGATGGTATCAACTTCAATTAAGTCTGATCCTAGTAGCCTACAAGGGCATGTGGAATAGAAGATAAAAGGGATGGAACAATGGCTCTAGACATTCTAAAATTTTTACCTATTTAGTTAGGATTTAATATTTAGCCATAGCTTCAAGTTCCTATAATTTTATTCAACTTGGTTACAATACTTGTAGCTTATCGTTTTTTCTTTCAGAATATAGATGATTTACAATACTGTGTCAGTTTCAGGTATATAGCAAAGTGATTCAGTTTATACACATACACACACATATATCCTAATTCTTTTTCAGATTCTTTTTGCATATAGGTTATTACAGAATACTGAGTAGAGTTCCCCGTGCTATACAGTAGGTCCTTGTTGATTATTTTATTTATTTTATATGTAGTAGTATGTATATAAAATAGATAATCTCCCAATTTTTCCAAAACTTTCACCCAAACTCCTAATTCCCCACCCCCACCTTTCCCCTTTGGTAGCCATAAATTTGTTTTCAAGGTTTGTGAGTCTGTTTCTAATTTGTAAATAAGTTTCTTTGTATCCTTTTTTTTAGAGAGATTATCTCATCATCAACATTAAATAGGTTGAGATTCCCAGTTTCCAAATAGAGGTGGAGTGAGTGGGTCTTTGAGCTGATTTTTAAGGAGCCCTTCTCTATCAAGAGAAATTCTCAAAATATTGCTTTTCTCCAAAAATTTCCAGGAGAAGATCCAGTCATAATTATGATATTCAGCTTTCACCAAGCATAAAATTAGGGAACGGAAAAAATTAGAGGATCCCTGAAAAGGATGAAGTATAGCTCCATTATTTCAAACAGTAAGTTCTCTAAAACAAAATGTTGGGTCCAAACGTAGGTTCTACAATAGCATGTAGTATCGTTTGACTTTACCTACTTGCAGGAAATGAGAAAAATGGACATACCCACATGTGAGGAGAAATCATTAACATTTTAATGGTATATAGGTCTAGACTGTGGGATTTCTAGCAATTTTTACTTTTTAAAAAATTTTTGCATTGCTAGAGTTTTCTGTGAGGCTGTACTATATTTATAATAAAAATAATAAAACTTTGCATTTTGAAAAGAGGACATACCTACATAACACAAAATAGAAATATAAAGGAATATTGAGCCCCTTTATTTGACTCAAACTTAGATTAAAAAAGAACCATCTGCTCTGGGCCCAGGTCTCCTGCCCAGTCTTTTCTTGGTCCCTCTATTTCATCTTGCTCCTCCCTTCTATTACCTGAGTAGAGACAAGTCTCTGGTGAACAGGCAAGGGCCCTGCTGTGTTTGAGTGGCCCCAGCAAGGAAGGCCAAGCCCACCTCAAATCTTGGCCTCTGCTGATTTAACTTCCATGGGTTGTGTCTCTCACTAAGGTTACATATCAAAGCACCTGAGTGCAAATATCATCTGGGAAGAATATCACAGTGAGTAATTATCTGCCATTTGGAATCTTACACCCAATTAGCTAACCAGACAGGTAATAGATCAGCTAGAAATAAGAACCCAGCTTAATGAATTCAATAGTCTAGAATTATCAGAATTAAGGCAGCCAGGGATCTCAGAGAGCAAGGATCTGGTGGGTCACAAGGGAAATGAAGAATCAAGCACTGAAACTGGTTCAGAAAGGACAGAAAGGTCCATATCAGAGAGAAAGCTATGTCATAATGTACTGTTGCTGGAGGAAACTCCAGAGTGAAAACCACACACAGATCCCATTAGATTTATTTAATTGATGAGCAATTCTGAAGTCATTAGTAGGCTTCTAAGTTACCTGTTTCTTGTCTACATTCATTGATGCCAAACTTAGGTTACTTGGCACATACTTAATGAAGTCCTCAATTATATATTAAAATTCTTCTCTGTAACCTGCTACAGTTAAGTAGCTTGTCCTTTCTTAGAGGGTGCTTTAAAACTCAGAGCCAACCAGGACCGTGACCTCAGATCATCATAGCAAATTCCTCTATGGGGTTGATCTCTATTAACTCTTCCCTCTGCCTCTCTCCCCCCACTTGAGTCCTGAGGTCAGAGCTTTCAGAGGTCTATGAAGTCCCTTGGGCATGCACACACCCTCCCTTTGTGCTTATACATTTAAACTGCAGTTTCTCTAAATGAAACACTTTATTTTGTCCTCCTTTTTCCAAAGCCCCAGGCGCTTCCATAAGTATAGAAAGGATGCCTTTGCTCCAAGGCAATGGAGCCAGAGATCCTGCCCTGGGGGAGGATTCCTGCACTCACTCATCAAGTTACCTTGGAGTCCGTCTTTCTCAGAGATGCTCCTGCGTCCACCAGAAGCTGGCACACGGCCCGGTTCCGCTGGCAGGCTGCCTTGTGCAGCGCGGTCTCACCCCTAAATCAAAGATGAAATGGGTAAAGGGCTGCAGGCGGGAGTGGGGGCGGGGAGAAGGGGGCAGGGAGGGAAGTGAGGGTCGCATCTTACCCCTGCTGCTGACCTTCTGTGCCCCCTGGCCACTTTCCCACCGATGGCTGAGACCACAGTTGCAGGGCACGGACAGGGGAGGTGGCTGACCGGGGTCCTAAAAGTACCTTGAGTTGGTCTCATCACCATCATCTCACCATGACATCTGACTCCAGCCTCTTTTTCAAACAGTGTTGGCTGGTTAGGTAGGCTGAGTGATTTTGTCTTAAATGACTACTGTCGGATGTAAGTGATCCTCAGTGGCACTCTGAGGTAGACTGATGTGTGTAGATGTGTCAGAACAGTGTGCAGCAACTCTGTGTAGACGTTCTGGCTATGTCCCGCAGATATCAGCACTGAGCCGGAAGGACGTGAGATGAAGCACACACAGGAGCAGCAGGAGCACCACCTCTCGGTAGACCACCCGGCCCTGGGAAGACCATCTCCTGGGACTTGACTTCAAAGACCCAGGAGACACCCACTCTGCCCGACCTGCTGATGCCTTGTGAGCGGAAGGGGAGGGGCAGCCCCAGAGGATACCTGGGAGGGACAGTAAGAACTCCGAGAGAGTTCAGGGTCACCTCTGGTTAGCGGCAGACCTGAGGTCAGCCCACTCAGGATGGGGAATAGCCAAGGCAAAGTGACTATTTCTCCAACCCCCACAGACAGCAGAGGGAGGAGGATATTCCCATCCTGAGTCTGAAACCGAAAAGACACTGAATGTCAAGCTAGGGTGAATGACAACCTTGCCGACGGGATGTGTGGTACCGGAACAAGCCCCCGTAGCAACTGATGGTTTCTTCCTTGTCAGTGACTCATGGCTAAACCCCTCCTACTTTTCCTCCTTCCGGTCTCCTTAGCCCCCCTCCAGTCCACCGACTCAATGGACATGAGTTTGAGCAAACTCGGGGAGACAGTGAAGGACAGGGAAGCCTGGTGTGCTACAGTCCATGGGGTCGCAAAGAGTCAGACACAACTTAAGAGACTGAACAACAACTCCACCCCACCCAGTCTTTATCCTTGTTATATTTCACTGCAGGTCTCTAGAGGCTCCTCCTGGCTTCCAGGGTTAGATGTTTTTAGCCTTTTTTTGTCCCTGCTTCAGGAATAGTAACTATTGTGCTACTCTGGGAATAAAAATGTTGACAACAAATGTTATCAGTTTGGGGGCCAACTGCAGAGCTGGTGAGTTTCTGAACCAGGGTTCCTCATCTGAGCCACAAAGTGTGGAAATGGTTGGAGCCACTATGTTCCTGGTCTCCAGTGGTTGCATATAAATTGTCCCATTCTAGATTTAGCACAGAGAAATTGTCTCCTGCACAAAAGGTATGCCTTAGGGCATTAGGGCTTAATCTGCTTATAAACCTCAGTTGGTTCGATCCCTGGGTAGGGAAGATCCCCTGGAGAAGGAAATGGCAACCCACTCCAGTATTCTTGCCTGGAGAATCCCATGGAGGGAGGAGCCTGGTAGGCTACAGTCCACAGGGTTGCAAAGAGTCGGACACGACTGAGTTACTTCACTCAAACCTCAGTTGAGAAAGAGTAAATGCATGGGTAATTAAGAGCTAAGTACATTAGACTTCTCTGGCATTCAAGGTGTACCAGTGCAGAAGTACCTCCCTTGAAGGAAATTCTAAATGATGACCAGCAATGGTTATGTATGCAATCTTCATGACAGGTACCATCTATTTTTATTGTGTAATCACTGATTTAGAAGATTAGCTCTACAGTTATAAATACAAGTGAAAGTAGACATTTTTATATGTTCTCAAGAAGACAATCTAGTCTATATAATGTAAGGAAAAACTCACGTTTCACTGTCTGCCATATCCAATAACTCGGACGGTCCTAAAGAAGAGGAAAAGCAAGATGCCCATGAAAAGAAAGTTAAAAAAATTACCATTAAAAAAAAATGTAGTCACAGAATTAAAATACTTTGAGAGGCTGAGTAAGAGTAGAGCATTTAGTTACAGGTATAATAAGACCACCTCCCCCTTCAAAAGAGAAATGCTCCCTCCACCTCCCCCTCGTCAGTCTCTCAATCATCACCAGGTAATATGCAGAGCATGGGATATAAAAAAGAATATGGCCTCTGCCTTCAAGAAACTTTCAAACAAGCTGAAGAAATAAAATTAATTGGGATAGAATAAATTAAGAATAATTAAGTGGCGACCTAAGGAGGAAAAGGGGAATCGGGTGGGCTTTAAAGACTATTTTTAGCACAGGTTGTTCGGGAAGGTCTTATACAGCATACCATTAAAACTATGAGAAACTGTATTATTAAGTGTTCTTTACCTGACGTAACACTTAGCGGTTTACACTAAGTCAAGACATTATCTAGCCCAATTTCTTTATTTTAGAAATAGAGTAAAATTCTATTTTTCATAAAATTTCCCTCCCCAAATCTGGAAGAAATGTTATATATAAACATCAAATGGTTCTAGATGCTTCATCAGGAATTGAAGTATTCTGAGCTTTCACATTCACAACTTCTTATTTGTTCACTAATTTACTCAATTCAACCTGCAAGCACTGCTTGGAATGTCCACCTTTCCCCCTGCCGCACTACTGCTTTCCTCCAAACCCTTCCTGCAACGTCTTACCTGCGGGTATCAGCTGATACACATTTTCTCCATAAAGCACTCTATTACTGCATTCCTAATATTGTAGCATTAGATGCCCTGCCTATGTGTTCCCTCATTTTGTATGTTAACCCTATTTCCTATAATTAGGAGGATAATATAATTAACCATCAAAACTGTATCCCTAACAAGTAGGGATATACAATCACCTTACTGATCATGACACTTGTCAAGCCATATTAAAATTACCTGCTGTCTTGTCTCTCTCCATAACTAGACTCTGGAAAACCCCTTGCAGTTGTGACAGATGCCTTGTCCCACACTGTCCTTCGTTGATGACTGGCATAGAGCATGGTGCCAAGCAGAGGCTTAAATTTTGTTTGCATTAATGAATAAGGAGCCTGGCAAGCTACAGTCCATGGGGTTGGCAAAGAGTTGGACACAACTGAGCAAATGACACACAAACAGATGGAAAGATATACAGTGTTCTTGGACTGGAAGATTTGACGTCAAAATGACTATGCTACCCAAAGCAATCAACAAATACAATCCCTATCAAATTACCAGTGGCATTTTTCACAGAACTAGAACAATAAAATCTAAAAATTTTATGGAGCCACAAAAGACCCCAAATAGCCAAAGCAATCTTGACGAAGAATGGAGCTGAGGAGTCAGGCTCACTGACTTCAGACTATACAAAGCTACAGTAATCAAAGTTGTTTGGTACTCACCCAAAAGCATATAGATTAATGGCACAGGATAGAAAGCCCTGAAATAAACTCAGGCACCTATGGTCAATTAATCTACGACAAAGGAGGCAAGAATATACAATGGAGAAAAGAGAGTCTCTTCGATAAGTGGTGCTGGGAACACTCCACAGCTACATGTAAAAGCTTGAAATTAGAACATTCTCTAATACCATACACAAAAATAAACTCAAAATGGATCAAAGACCTAAATGCAAGAACAGATACCATAAAACTCCTAGAGGAAAACATAGGCAGAACACTCTGACATAAATTGCAGCAATATCTTTTTGGATCTGTCTTCTAGGCTAATGGAAATAAAAACAAAAATAAATGAGACCTAAGTAAACTTAAAAGCTTTTGCACAGCAAAGGAAAGCATAAACAAAATGAAAAGACAACTTCCAGGATGAGGGAAAATATCTGCAATAATGCAACCAAAACATGCAAATAGCTCATACAGCTCAGTGTCAAAACAAAACAAACCAAAAAATCCATTAAAAAATGGGCAGAAGATTTAAATATTTCTCCAAAGATGACATGCAAAGAGCCAACAGACACATGAAAAAATGCTCAACATCACTAATTATTCAGTTCAGTTCAGTTGCTCAGTCGTGTCCGACTCTTTGCGACCCCATGAATCACAGCACGCCAGGCCTCCTTGTCCATCACCAACTCCCAGAGTTTACTCAAACTCATACCCATTGAGTCGGTGATGCCATCCAGCCATCTCGTCCTCTATCGCCCCCTTCTCTTCCTGCCCCCAATCCCTCCTAGCATCAGCGTCTTTTCCAATGAGTCAACTCTTCGCATGAAGTGGCCAAACTATTGGAGTTTCAGCTTCAGCATCAATCCTTCCAATGAACACCCAGGACTGATCTCCTTCAGGATGGACTGGTTGGATCTCCTTGCAGTCCAAGGGACTCTCAAGAGTCTTCTCCAACACCACAGTTCAAAAGCATCAATTCTTCAAGTGCGAATAAAAACTGCAATGAGGTATCACCTCACACCAGTCAGAATAGCCACCATCAAAAAAATCTACAAACAATATATGCTAGAGAGGGTGTGGAGAAAGGAAACCTTCCTACACTGTTGGTGGTGATGGAAATTGGTACAGTCACTATGGAGAACAGTATAGAGGTTCTTTAAAAATAGAACTACCATATGATCCCACAATCTCATTCCGGGGCATAAATCAGAGAAAAACATAATTGGAAAAGATACATGCACCTCCATATTCACTGCAACACTATTTACAGTAGCCAAGAAATGGAAATAGCCTAAATGTCCGTCAACAGATAAACAGATAAAGAAGACGTGGTGCATAAGTATATGCTAGGCTTCCCTGGTAGCTCAGATGGTAAAGCATCTACCTGCAATGTGGGAGACTCGGGTTTGGTCCCTGGGTCGGGAAAATACCCTGGAGAAGGAAATGGCAACCCACTCCAGTACCCTTGCCTGGAAAATCCCATGGATGGAGAAGCCTGGTAGGCTACAGTCCATGGGGTCACAAAGAGTCAGACATGACTGAGCGACTTCACTTCACTTAACTTATATATGTATACAGTGGAACACTACTCAGCCATAAAAAGGAATGAAATGATGCTATTTGCAGTAACATGGATGGACCTAGAGAGTAAAAGAACTAAGCCAGAAGAGAAAAACAAATACATGATATTGCTTATATGTGGAATCTAAAAAAAAAAAATGATACAAATAAACTTATTTATAAAACAGAAACAGACTCAGACATAGAAGACAAACTTATGGTTACCAAAGGGGAAAGGAGGTGGGCAGAATAAATTAGGAATTTGGGAGTAACCTAAACACACTGCTATATATAAAATCGATAAACAAGGACCTATTGTATAGCACAAGGAAGTTTACTCACCATTTCATAGTATTGAAAAAGAACATATAGATACATTTTCTTTTCAATATACGTGTGTGTGTGTGTGTGTGTGTGTGTGTGAGTGTCGCAAAGAGTCAGACATGACTGAGCGACTGAACTGAACTGAACTATGAGATGGCTGGATGGCATCACCAACTTGATGGACATGAGTTTGAGTAAACTCTGGGAGTTGGTGATGGACAGGGAGGCCTGGCGTGCTGCGATTCACGGGGTCGCAAACAGTCAAACATGACTGAGCAACTGAACTGAACTGTGTGTGTGAGTGTGCGTGTATATATACACATACATATACATATATATACACACAAACATAAAACTGAATCACTGTGCTATATACCTGAACCTAACACAACATTGCAAATCAACTACACTTCTCAATAAAAACAAAAGTCACTGGTCAAGGAGAAGGGAGATGTTCACAATCCTCCTGGTCAACCAGGAGCTACATCACCAACCTCCCCTCCTTTCTTTCCATCTATGGTCCTTAGCACAGGTGAATCTTCTCTTGAAAAGTCTGTCCTATTACTTGTTCTAATTTGTCCTATTTGTCCACACTTCCTAATAGGTCTCCGTCAGGGACATAATTAGCATGCAGGACTGTTACTAAGAAAACATATAAAGATCTAACATTTACATTTCTAGGCTTCAAATTCATCATATGTCCTCTGTCTCCCCAAGTATTTAAAACCTTGAAGTTCACAGTCTTTCACATGGAACTACCCCACCTCAATTTGTTCTCAAGGCTCCATTTTATTTATTTTTTGTATGAGCCAAATTGGTAGCTGCACAATCACCCAAATATTTCTCAGACTCTCCCAGCTCTGAGAGCTTGCTCCCTCCAGCTATCCAGAGCAGCATTTTCTACCTACCTAATCTTTGGAGGAGGAAATGGCAATCCACTCCAGTATTCTTGCCTGGAAAACCCTAAGGACAGAGGAGCCTGGTGGGCTACAGACCACACGGTCACAAAGAGTCAGACACGACTGAGCACGCATACTCACCTAAATCTTACACATCCTTTAAAAGCCCAGTGTGTGACAAGGTCCTCTGAAAAGGCCACCTTTGACCCCATCTCTGAACTCCCATAACCCTGGGGCCGACCCTTGTACTGTGTATTTGCTTTCTGAAAGTATGCCTTATCTTCTTAATTATTCTACATATTTTAAGTGTAAGGGCTTCCCTGGTGGCTCAGAGGTTAAAGTGTCTGCCTGCAATGTGGGAGATCTGGGTTCGATCCGTGGGTCAGAAAGATCCCCTGGAGAAGGAAATGGCAACCCACTCCAGTATTCTTGCCTGGAGAATCCCATGGACAGAGGAGCCTGGTGGGCTAGAGTCCATGGGGTCGCTAAGAGTCAGACACGACTGAGCGACTTCACTTTCACAAAGTGCAAGAACACTTTTTCTTACCCTCCAAGCACATTCCCTGTTTCACAGGTTCAACGAGGATTTCATTTATTCATGCTTGTTCCTCAGTCCTGTGATTCTAAGGAAACTGGAACGATAACGCTCCACCCCCACCAGCCCCTGCCCCACCGAAACCCCCCTAAAGGGCCAAGCAGTCTAGTGCAGTGATTAAGAGCGAGAGCTTTGGTGCTGAACATCCTTGGTC